TGAAAAATTGCCCTTTGCCCTGATGTCATCCTAAGATCAAACAACAGTTTAGGTTTACTAGTAAAAATAATTTGCCTTAAGCATTATGCTCTTTAAAGAAATTGTCTTTACAGGATCAAATTGCTAACAGCAAAAGGAAAGTTAAGTTAGAACCTTAAAGGACTAGTGTTGATGATGTTGTTTCTGTTATATGCCTTTGAGATGGAACTGACTTACCTTCTAAAAGGTTTTCAGAGGCATAAATCAAACAGGAGGAGATACCTATCCTTCTCCCTTGGAGCAATTGATGGATTAAAACCGTATGCCTTTGGGATTGCAGTGTAGCTTCCAGGGAGTGATGAACTCATATCTATGAGGGATGCATAATGGTATTAAGTGCTTTTAAGTTAGTTCTCTCTTACTCATAGTCCCATGTACAACAGAGGAAACACTGCCTGCTCCTATGATGTTGTTTGTTGTTAGGTCCTGTCAAGTTGAGTATGACTCATAGCAAGCCTATGAGCCATCGATTTGAACACTGTGCTGTCTCACACCATCCTCACATAACACACTCAAGCCCGTTGCTGCAGTCACTGTGTCAACCTAGCTGGTCACAGGTCTTCCTGTCTTTCATTGCCCTTTACCTTCCCAAGCATGATGTCCCTCTTTAAGGAATAACCTCTCCTAGCAACATGCTCAAAATATGTGAGAGGAAGCTTTGTCATTTTTGCTTCCAAGTAACACTTTGGCTGTACCTTCTCCAAGACATATCTGTTTGTTCTTTTGACAGTCCATGAGATATTCAGCACTCTTCTCCAATACCACAGTTCAAAGGCATCAATTCTTCTGTCATTCTTATGCAGTGTCCAGCTCTCAAATGTATACATAGCAAGTGACTGATAAGATCATGGGCTAAATGTGGCTCACCTTAGTCCTCAAACTGACATCATCTCAAAAATTTGGAGAAATTTCTGACTACAGACTTTCCAGTGCAATACATCTTCTGATTGCCTAACTGCTGGTACCAAGTATATTGATTGTGGATCCAATTTTTGTTATACTGAGGGCCATTGTCACAGTCACTGTGTCAATTCATCTCACTGAGGGTCTTCCTCTCATTAACTCTCCACGTTACTAAGCATGATGTCTTATAGAGACTAGCTCTTCCTGATAAGGTGCCCTAAGTATGTGAGACAGGCTCATTGGTCTTACTTTCTTTTTTTCAATTTTTAAAAATTTTAATAATTTTAATGAA